CTGAACCTCACTCAGGAAAGAGCACAGAAATTAGAATACATTGATATGTTAGCGAGATGAAAGAAAGACAGTTAAAGATATTGATTGTATTGGCAAAGTGTGGCCCTGCTGAATTAATGTGAACACATGACCATATAGCCCCCAGAAGGAGGATGGCCAAATTTGAGTGGCCTTATGACAGCACAGCGCTAAAATGTTTATGCCAGGCCTATGTGTGTGTGTGTGTGTGTGTGTGGGTGTGGATGTGGGTGTGGGTGTGGGTGTGGGTCGGTGTATCTTCAGTACTCAACAGTCCTTCATCTGTAATATGAAAGACATTGGTCTGTAAAATACATGACCATGGTGGTTCCTTCCAGGCATCTGTGACTTTTGTTTCTTCACATCTCCCCATAGCCAGAATTGTTGTTGATTATCTGTAGGCCTTTTTGGACTCTTGGAGTGTTCAAAGTTATTTGAAATTAATTACTTCTTTGAAAATAGTACTTATCACTATAAAATGAGGCATGAACCTTATGCTTTACACTTAGATCAATTTGAATGTGATTAAAATATGTACAATTTGAAAATTTAAATATTAAATTCATTTTTAAATGATAAAAATGCCTTAGAAATCATTGCTACAACATAAATTGAACAAAATTATTTTTAAAAAGTCATAGTATTCAAATTATATTTTTTCAGATATTAAAATTTAATTAAGCCTTAATTCTGACTTTTCAATATTGGAGTCAACCAAAAAGACTTTCCAAAAAGAACAAACCAACTGTCGTGGAGTCAATTCAACTCATACTGACCCCCATTGGATTTCTGAGGCTATAAATCTTTACTCGTGTAGATTGACCCATCTCCCTTCTGTGGAGCAGTTGTTGAGTTTGAACCGCCAACCTTCTTGTTAGTAGTCAAATGTCTTAGGCACTATACCAACAGAGCTCCTTTGGATGGTCGAAATAAAATCTTTCTTTCCTGAGATTCCAGAGTATTGGAAAAAATAAAATAAAACACATATAGAAGTCATAGTCTTTGACCTGTATTCTCAGGTCATAGTTTTTCTGAATTATGTTCTGTATTTTTAAGAATTAGAAAGCTTTTATTAACTTTATCCTTCTTCCCTCCTCTTTCCCCTAATTTTCTTATTTCATTATATGATTGATATGACTCTAATTCATCATTTCATCAAATTAAATCAACAGTAGTTACCAGCTTTTTAGAAATTAAAAACAAAGTATCAAACTTAAATGTTTAGAAATTGTTTTCATTTTTTGTTGGTCTGTACTATATCTGTTTATACACTTTCACCTGTAACCATAGTTTTACATTCCCTTTGAAATTAAGTTTTCAGAGGTAAAAAAAAGATAATGTGGACCATGAACAAACTGCTTTAGCAATTGAGTTTCTTCTTATAACATAATTCTTAAGATAACGTAATGAAGGAAGGTTAAGTTTGTTTTCATCTAAAAGTTTCTATTACCAAATATTTCTGATGAAATATGGTAAATGATAGCTGGAAAAGAAAGTTAGAAAATGATTGCAAATCAATGCTGCTGATTTATTACGCACTCAAGTTACAGATCACAATTTAATTTTATAAAGACACATATAAGTAATTCTTATTTTTATCTATTTTTTTTTCTTTTCATATTAATGTGTATATCAGAGTTCATTGAATTAAAGTTCTGTCACTCCACTTACACAAGTCTAGAGACTTAAAACCAAGATAGTCTTCCCCCTCCGTCACCCTCCTTTGCTCAAGTGAATCTCTGGAATTTAGGTTAATTGCACCAGAATTAGGAAAGCCTGGATTAGAATTCTCTGGCCTAAATGCTAATGTTTATTCTTCTGACAAATGTATTTGTTAAGCATATGTAGATTTCTGTAACATCGAATACATTTGACTGAACACTAATATAATCTTGTTCTAGCCGGGAGCTCAATCTTCAAACAATATCAGTGCTCCAAGCACCTGCCACACTAAAACCATACATTTTACTCTTGATTTGAGCCAAAGTTCTCTGTTAAATTAAATTCACAATGATTATTTGGCTTCCCAGTCTATTATAAATCAAAGACACAAATAAACAGCTGGGGAGACAAACAAATTAAATATTGAAATATTAGATAACCTAACATAATGGAAGAAGATCTGGAAGACAGAATTGTGAATATCTGTAGTATAGTCATTTGAGAAAAAGTTATCTTTTTTTTTTTTCAAATAACTTGCCCATGCAAATAACGCTTACATGTATACATGTATAGTGCTCATAGGAAACAAATGTGCAGTGGGCTGTGTGGTTTGCAAAAAACCTGAAGCATGCATTTGCATAAAATTATGGTACATTATATAGTATTGGAAAATGATTTTAAATACATATGTGGCAAATTTCACTTATCTGGAAATTATATGAGCATGGAAAATATCTTTCAAATAAATGAACCATCATTACTTTCCCCATAGCGTCACATAAAAAATTGTCACCTTTAGCTCTGACAAGACCTTGGCATGGTATAAAGAATGTATTTTAGAATGGAGGTATAATCTTGATTATATGAAAGACTTTTAAAATCTGAGAGTAAATTGAGTCTGAATAGAAAAGACTCATGTATGTTTAAGTCTAAATTATCCATGTATTAGTGAATTACCTTGACTTCAAAAATAAAATATTTTCACTCCAAGTTGACTTTCTCTTCATAGCTGTCTGTTTCTAGGACCTTCTTCTTTTAATGGTTTGTTTGATGGTCAGAGAGTATAAAAATTAAGAGCTTATTCTAAATTCTTTTAGAATGAGACACAAATATATATAAAAATAAAACTAATTTTAGTATTAATATACATAGATAATAAGTAGAAAAATATACCTTCTGTGCAGAAAATTGTTTCAAAGTCAAATGGTTTGTTCAAAAATTATCTTTTTCAAACTCTTATTTAGTTCATGAAAAGCAGAGTTTATAATATTTAGTAATAACTTCCCAAATTCTGGTCATAATTTAAAACATCAGAATACCACCTTGTGTTTATATAGCACCTGGTTTTCTGTAGGTAAACGAACAATAGTAACAGGATTTATTTTATTTTATTTTATTTTATTTTTTTCCTTAATGTGAATCAATACTTACATTGTATAGTTGGAAAGTTTCAGGCTTTGCTTATGAAAGAATAGGTTTAGAAACAGATGATCTGAAAAAGCTCTAAAGTGAGCTTGTTCATGTTGTCTCAGAAACAGTTTTCTCTAAGCATTGGTTGTTAGAGGTACTGTTTTTATTTTGTGCCATCAAATTTTTTTTGTAGATTTTACTCTCTTGTCAAAGATCATTTTCTTCTGTATGTTTTTCACCTAGCCACAAGGTACAGAAGAAAAACAGTCTCCATAGTTTCCTTTGGATTTTTTTTTTTTTTTAACACAAATAATATTTTGGAGTAGCGCTAATTACAAAGTAACCTTTCTAATTTACTAATTCTGCTGTTGGGGATTTTTACAGCAGTTGCTGCCATAATATACTACCATCAATTTGAAACTCTTTGTTCTGCTGTTTCCATGAAGGGTAACCTATTAAACTATATATTTCAGTTTTCATACTCATTTACTCTGTAAAAGGCCATTTCTTGGAACCCTAAAAGTAAGTAAGGATTTTGTCTTCACACTACCATTTTATTGAAGAGAATAGTGTCCTATTTTGTTTATGAGTTTTGAAGAGTCTTAAACTATATTAAATTTTTCAAAGTTCCATCTGACCAACCACTTGGCCCCCACCTGAATTTTTCTGTATGTAACTTCCAAGTATCACACCTTTATTTTACCACTATTATCATATAAACGAAAGGAAAAAAAATTGCTTGTACATAATTATTATAAATAACAGGTATAGAAAATGAAATGAAACTGAATGAAAAAGAAAGATGAGTAAGTCAACTTTTATGGTCTGCTGATTTTTAGTATTCATATTTAATTTTCTTTTAGAGACAAGCAGTTAACTGGGTCAAGCTTTATAATGGTTTATACCAAAACCAACTGCCTTATAAAAGGTTTGCTGACCTATGAGTTTATCAAATATGTTTAAAATTGCATTTTGTTTAAGAAAATTTCAATTTAGCACAACTTGTTCATTATTTTCGATGTCATAAAATAAATAGAGAAGTGAACAATTTTAATGCAGTGTGTATTGTTAAACGTTGAAAGGAGTTTGAAAGCCAGTTTGTAGCTAAGACCACCTTCACTTTATTTTTATTTTGTGAGCTTTTGTGTGCATAATCTAAAATAACCTCTTTGCTCTTCTGTTACAGTTCATATCTATTACCTTTCAATATCCTGGCAAAGTAAATTAGTATGTTTTGCTTTGTAATAATTCAGTGACTCTCTTCTTAAATTATTGTCAGCCTTTTTCAAACTTAACAAATTCTATAAGGACTGCCTACTTGTTCGTTTTGTGAATGGACCCCACTTGGCACAGTGGTTAGAGCACTCCACTGCTAACCAAAAGTCAGCAGTTCCAACTACCAGCCTCTCCACAGTAGAAAAATGTGGCAGTCTGCTTCCAAAAAGATTTATAGCCTTGAAAACCCTGTGGGGAAGTTCTACTCTATCCTACAGGGTTACTCTGAGTTAGAATGGATTCGATGGCAGTGGACAGTGGCTTGTACTACACAGGGAAAAAAATCCAACATGCCATGAGTTATGCAGTGATTCATGTCTAGCAGTAGCACATGTACACTCAATTCTGTAGTGTGTGCTAACAGCCATCGTTGGGCCAGGCATTTCTCCAAAGCTCATGAGTTAGGGAATGATAATTATAGTAAGTTGTGTATTATAAATAATGCATGTATGTTCCGCATGAGCTGTGTGGGATTTCGGCCCATTTGCTAGTACATAGCTGCATAATGATTTGTTTGGATTTTGTTGCAGATGATTGATAGTGGAGAATGTTAGCAATGATGTATTATTGTTGGGCTGCCTTGAAAATTTCAGCACAAGTGGTGATTTCTTCTCTTTTTTTGTGTGCTTGTCTAGTCTCGGCAGACACCTGAGGGTGAGTTCCTTCCCCTTGACCAACTTGAACTGGATGTAGGTTTTAGTACAGGGGCAGATCAACTTTTTCTTGTTTCCCCCCTCACGATTTGCCACGTGATCGATGCCAAAAGCCCCTTTTATGACCTATCCCAGCGAAGCATGCAAACTGAGCAATTCGAGATTGTCGTCATCCTAGAAGGCATTGTGGAAACAACTGGTGAGTAAAAACTTAGATATCTCATCAAGTGTCTTCATCCCATAATGATATTATGTGCACAAAACCTGTGACAAAGGTGGCTAAATGTCTCAAGATGGCCACATTAATGAAAACAGAGAGTTGCTTCTTATTTCTTTGTAACAGTAAATTAATAACTACTTTGAAAATGAAGATTTACTGTTTTGTTGGTTCCATACATAACATTAGCTCAGGAATACTTCTGAAAAAAAAAAAAAAAAAACCACATTAAACTGAGATAAGTTCTTAGAGATGTTTATGCTATTCTATTTTAATTAAAAACTTGGGGTTCCTATAATCATGATTTTTCTTTAAAGCTTCAAGGTTAAAATAACAAAAAAAAAAAGCAGTGTAGTTAGTGAGCAGCCTGAACTCAGTGTGTATATACTTGCCATAGGGAGGTTGATTTGGGGTGTCATGATAGAGCTTTGATAAGCTGCTATGTGCAACATCAGTGGAAAATTGCCTCTGTGTGTGTGTGTGTGTGTGTGTGTGCTAACACAGCACTTTAATTTCAAAATAGGTCAGTAGATTTCCCCAGCTGAACCTTGACTATATACACATTTGCTGTTGTTGTTATGTCCCATATATATATATGCTTCAATACATTCATGTCTTGTATGTTACTCCTTAAGATGCAATTTAACATTGGTATTCCCCAAATACTCACAATTTGCTGTTCTCTGAGGAGTGTTAGGTTTGCAAAGGAAAGAAACACAATAAACGTGAATATATTGTTTAGACTCTAAACATTGGCCAGTTTGTTTAGAATATACTGGATGACATAGACAAACAATGTAATATCTACAGAGTGTGTGTGTATGTGTGTGTGTGTGTGTATATATATATATATATATATATATATATATATACACACACACACACATATATATATACACAGGTTAACTTCAGTTTTATACTTTCTATAAGTAATGAAATAGAAAGAAATATTTCTTATTAATGTTTTCTACAAAATCATCTTGATTATCTTAAAATGCTACTTATTATGTATAAACTATGGAAATATTGAGAGTAACATTTATAATATTACATATAAATGCAAGCTTTATACCAATGTGGAGGATATTTGGTTATGTAACAGTCGCTTTTGTCCAAGGAGCAGGGACAGCAATCTACTGTCATTTTTACATACCTGTCACTTAACACCTGTTAGCAATTTAGGAAAGATAGTAATGTCTATAAGCTTCTTTTCCTTCTCTTTAAAGGGAGGATGATATAGTAACTACCTTGAGGCTCCTTGTATTATTACTATTACTTTATTATCTTCAGTGCTTAAGTTTAAAAATTAAGACTTTAAGAACAGTCAATCTATATATGAAATTTGATTTCTGAATGTGGCATTTTATGATTTTAAATCCTCTATTCATATTTTGACTTTAAAGTTGAAATGATTTTTTAATATTCTCCTAAAATATCATATACTGGTAAAAGATAAAGCTGATTTACAGAGTCTCTTAGTCCAAGACATTTTTTAATTACATTTTGATTTTTATTCATCTCATTTATTGAATTAATAATATATTATTAGTGCTTATACAAAATATTGCATTTTTATTGATTTCCTTCTTGTAGTGTATGGTTCTATCTTTGATACACCTGCTTGTAGTTTACTATTTATTTATTATTATCCTATTCACTGACATAAGAAAATTTCTGTTTCATTTTATAGCCTTAAAAAATATTTTATTTGTTCTTTCTATATATTTATCTCCATATCCAGTTTTTCCTATTTGTCTCTAAGTTTTTGTGTGTATTTCTTTAGAATGAGAACATTATCCTACAAAACTACAGTGCAGTGTTTTTAAAAAGCAAGAAATTTAACATTGGTACAACACTACCATTTAGTCCATGGTCCCCATTCAGATTTTGTCAACACTTCCATAATAGCTTTTTTCCTTTTCCCTGGGTCAATATTTGTTGACTTGTCTCTTCAATCTTAATGCAGAATAGTTACCCAACCTCACTTTGTATTTTTTAACCTTGACATGTCTGAGTATAGAGCAAGTATTTTATAGAAGGTCTTGCAATTGGACTTTGTCAGAGGTTCCTTATTTTTCACTTCTTTTGATTTTGAGATGCTACATGGATATCTTAAGGGACAGTTGAAGCAGGTTGTTTTTGAATTTTGCCTGTGTATTTTTGACTTAGCTTATAGGTTGTCACTGTATTTCAGAGTATTGTAGCTAGTAAACAATGTCCTACATAAGGTCAGTAGGGGTTTTGTAACAGTCAATTATTGATTAGGACTGTAAAGTATTTAAAAAAATGAACTGGAAAAAATATTTTACACAGAAAATGAAAACTTGGCTGAAGGCTTAATTTCTTAATTAAGGATTATCTTTTATGAAAAAGAGATTCAAGGCCACTTCCATTTAAAGTCTTAATTAAGCCCACTTTCTAGATCTAAGATAGCAAGACAAACAGCAAAATCGTTAGTCATAATTTATAGAATTCATTTTGTGAAAAATGTATCTGGCATTTTGTTTGTATATATGCCCTAACCAAATTAATCTTAGACTCTTCAAAGTCTAAAATGTGTCTACATTTTCAGAGCTCCCTGAGCTTGGTAAAAATAACATAGATATTTTTATGTCCATATGATCATTTAATATTTTACTGAGATTTATTTAGTTTAATAATAAGGAGTTTTCTCCTTTGTCTTCTCAATAAGTTATGCTTTCTCATATTGTTTATTAATTAGAATAAGTATGGATATGATCTTTCTGGATTCTTTGGAAAGAAGAATAACTTTCTATTCTCTCACGTTCCTTGGTACCTAGCCCCGTAAAATAAATTTAAGCTGAATATAAGTTTCCATCATATTTAGCATTAAAATTCACTTTATCATTCATTTATTCATTAAACAAGTATTTAATGAAATTATGTTGTGTGCTTGAATGTGTTTGAAATGCTGGAGATGTAATGGTGACCAAGGCAGACAGAATTCGTTTCCCCAAGGGACTTATTATATTCTAATTAGAGGAGGCAGACCGCAAACACACACATACACACACACACACAGAGCAAGATGTTATCAAATAATGTGTCAGGGGAAAACAAAATAGGATATTGTGATAACATGTATATCCCAGGCTACTTTAGGTTGATGGCCGGGGAAGAACTTTCTGAGGAGGTGATGTTTAAGTATAGACCCCACTGTTAATATGGCCCTCCTGTGATGGGCTGGGTAGAGAGCATGTCAGGTACTGATAACAGCTGATGCAAGGCCCCTGCGTGGAAAATAAACTTAGTTTATGGCAGCAAATAAATTCAGGCAGAGGTGGTTGGAGCAGAATGAGCAGTGGGGAGAGTGGAAAATCACAGAGGTAGGGAAGAGGGACGTATCTTCATTATAGAGGAGTTTATTACACCAATGGAAAGTTTTGGGATTTGATTAAAAAGCAGTCTTCAATAATATTATAAAAAATGATGCTTTAGTAAATATGTATACATATATTTTCTAGTGTATATGCTATATTTTCTAGTGGGATGTGTTTAATTTATAAAAAAAAAAAAAAAAATAGTGAGCCTAAGGTCTTTGAGGGAGCTCTGGTAGCATAGTGACTAAGGCACCTGGCTGCTAACCAAAAGGCATAAAATTTTAAAGAACTATCTTTGGTATTCGTAGCACTACCTCGTCCACCCCTTGGGGGTCAGGGGAAACAAGGCCAGTGAAAATTTTATTAATAATGGATCATTGTCTGATGGAATGGCAGAAGATGAGCCCTTCAGGTTGGAAGGTACTCAAAACAAGACTAGGGAAGAGCTGTCTCCTCAAAGTGGAATCAGTGTTATTGATGTGAATGGAGTAAAGCTTTCAGGACCTTCATTTGCTGAGGTGGCATGACTCAAAATGAGAAGAAACAGCTGCAAACATCCATTAATAATCAGAAAGTGGAATGTACCAAGTATGAATCTAGGAAAATTGAAAATCATCAGAAATGAAATGGAATGCATAAAATTGGTGTCTTAGGAATTAGTGAGCTGAAATGGACTGATACTGTCCGTTTTGAAATGGGCAATCATATGATCCCCATAGGCCAGGAATAAAAAATTTAAAAGGAATGGTGTCACATTCATTGTCAGAAATAACTTACCAGTAGCTATTCTGAAATACAGTACTGTAAGTGATAGGATAATATCCATATGCCAACAATGAAGACGAGTTAATACAGCTATTATTCAGATTTACACAGGCAACCACTAATGTCAAAGATGAAGAAATTGATGACTTTTTTAACCAACTTCTGCAGTCTGAAATTGATCAAACATGTAATCAAGATGGATTGATAATTATTTGCAATACATTGGTAAGGAAGAAGTCCAGGCTGCACTAAAAGCATTGGTAAAAAACAAGGCTCCAGGAATTAATGGAATACTAATTGAGATGTTTCAAGAAAGGAATGCAATGCTGAAAGTGCTTACTTGTCTATGCCAACAAATTTGGAAGACAACCAACTGGAAGAGACCCATATTTATGCCCATTCCAAATAGAGGTGATCCAACAGAATGAGGAAATTATCAAACAATATCATTAGTTTCACACACATATAATATCTGCTGAAGATAATTCAAAAACTAGTGCAGTAGTATGTCTACAGGGAACTGTCAGGAGTTCAAGTTGGATTCAGAAGAGGACCTGGAATGAAGGATATCATTGCTGATGTTAAATGGATCTTGGCTGAAAGCAAAGAATACCAGAGATAAGTTTACCTTTGTTTTATTGACTATGCAAAGATATTCAACTGTGTGGATCATAACAACTTATGGATAACATTGACAAGAATGGGAATTCCAGAACATTTAACTCATTGTACACATACGGAACTTGTACATACACCAAGAGGCAGTGGCTATAAAAGAACAAGGGGATACTGCATGGTTTAAAGTTGGGAAAGCTGTGCACCAAGATAGTATCCTTTAGCTGTATTTATTCAATCTGTGTGCTTGGCAAATAATCT